CCACACCTCAGGCACTTATAAGCTCTCATTCTGTTCTCAGTGCAGCAGAAGATCCACCTCAGTGCTTCCCCAACCCCAGCCCACCAGGTTAGCCTGTGGGAAGCACAAACAGAAGGTGAATGTGCCAAGATGAGACTATGATTTGGATTTGTCAGCTCCTTTCCCTGCCTTCACCAAAACCTTCATGGCAAGTAAAAATTACCAAACCTTCAGTTCTTAACCATACTTCTCAAAAAAAGGTGATAACGGGGAAAACAGAAACTGAAGAAACCAAAAAAGCAGGAAGCTTTTCTACCTCACTGTCATATGAGGCCTATTGTATAAGATGCTTTGCTGCCTGAATGGAAAAAACGAATTAATAGAATGTATTTTGAAATGAAAGATGAACTTTCTATTGCCCTTGCCATTTATAGGTCAAAATCATCAAAACTCCCTAAGGCAAAATGGAAGGAAAGCTGCATCCAGGATACCAGTAAATGAAAAATGAGGATCAAGAAGTAAAAATAGAGATGGACAGGCCTTTGATACTCAGGAGAGAAAGGCTTTTTTGGTGGATTTAATTTAAAACAGTACAGGGGGTGTGCTTTGCTAGAGAGAAAAGATGGATGGCTGCTATTAGAATGAAATGAGCTTGTCTGACACATCCTGTCTGCAGCCCTTTGCTGTTACAGGGGAGGCAGAACCTCGACAGATTGTTGTGGCTAAAATACTCACCAGAATAATGGTGAAATAAAGTGAAACTGAAAAAAAGGATCCGTTTTGAAAATCCACGTACAGCTCTACTATTAAGGATTTAACTCCAACACGATTTGTCTTTAGAAACATTAGAAAAACCTGTTTTGCCTGACTTACAAAGGAAACAAAGCAGATGAAACTGCGGCTGATGCATCTGTCAGGGTCTGTGCCCTCTGCTGCCAGAATTACTCAGATCCTGGACAAGAGGTTACCCAGTTCATCCTAGTAAAGCAGAAGTTTGGTTCTGGATAATGGAGAAAGGAGAAAAGGCCTGCTCTAGTATTAAATGGGGAGGTTGGTGGCCCTGCGTGTGGCAGGGGGGTTGGAGCTTCAGATCCTTGAGGTCCCTTCCAACCATGGCCATTCTGTGATTCTGTGATTCTGTGAAGGTAAATGCCCCATGAAATGCAATTCTGAATTGCATTTGCCAGTGAAGTACGTGTTCCTATCCCTGGTTTTGGAGACACTTTTGTTAGGTTTCTGAAGCATGCACGGGTCTGGCAGTTAGGAAAATGCAAATACCTTCAAGGTAGTAATGGACAGTTTGTGGGAAGGTCTTTGCAGGGGAAGAAGTAGACAGTGAGAGTAAAGGAGCAGGATCTTTGTTTTCTCCACATGATGAAATAGCAGCTAAGTGTTACAAGCTTGCTCAGTCAGCATTTAGTACCAATTATAGGAGGGGTTCCTCGTTCTGTTGGTGAAGCATTAACAGTGCTGCTGCAGGGGGTGTCTGATTCAGTGGTGCCTCACTTTTTGCAAGAGGGAACAACAGACACTGGTGCTGGTAACAGAGCTATTTCAATCTGAATTTCAACTCTAGAATTAATTCCTGAGAAAGATGAAACCATAATCCAACAATGGAAAACAGTTTAGGAGGAGACAAATCTATACTGCAGTGGAATATAGATATGTGCAAAACAGATTTATATGCAGCATATTATTTTGTCCAGTAAACTAGATGTCAGTGAAGGGCATCTGGTGTCCCTGATCCGTACTGCTTCTACACTGGTACTGCTGAGCAGGCAAATGCAAGGCTAGCTTTGGGTGCGTGCCTGACCTGATAAATAAGGCTTTCCAGCACTTCCCATGACCTCTTCAGTTCTTGTGCTGCTGAGTTAGTGTGCCAGTTGCTGCCAGTGATAGAACGCTGTCAGGCACCTGAAGGACTCGCTCTCTCAAGTTAGTTGCTTCTCTTTCCCACAACGAAAGGAGCTTCATTTTGTGGTCTTAGCACAGGCACCCATTTTTCTAGCAATGTTAAATGTTAAACACTTTAAGCAAATTCTGTAGTACACCGGAGTTGAGAGTATATTTAACTTGCACTGTGCCACATCTTTCCCCTATTCACAAGACAAGACGTATGATAGAGGCACACAACACACACTGGTTTTGTTTGCTGGCTTGCTGTGAGACAAAGTGAGCTTGCAACGACGTGATGCAATTCTGGCAGAGCAGAGGCAGGTTCAGATAAGCATGCTACAAAGAAACAGGAGGCATTTCCATCCAACTTCATTCTTTAGATGCGTTTGCAGATTTAAATAATAGCTCTGGAGAAGCAGGGAGTGGGCCCTCTCTCCAATGCCTGGATTGGCTATTCATTAGTCAGCAGGCAGCCCTCCAAAGCACATTGGTACATCTTGAGCTTTCAGCCTGCTTCCTGCTGTGCCGTCTGCTTCATTTATATTTTATTCTATTCCCTGTCCTACTCACTCTGATAGCAGCCTGCACGTAATGAGCACAAGAGCTTGGTGAAGGCCTAATTCTGACAGTGCAGGCCAACAAGTACCATCTGCTGGTGAGCAAGAAACAACCAAAGGGAAGAGTTGGCTACAGAAGTATCCTGACATTTAATTTCAAAGTCTCATTCAACCCATACTTTGAAAGCTCACAAACACATATTCATTATAAGGCAGAATTTCAACTGTGAGGGGAGAAAAGGTTGGAGGGTTCAGGATATTCCAGTGTGATGCAAGTCATAAAGATCCAGTATGCTTGCTGTGGTAACAATCGGGAGTTGGACTCCATGATCCTTATGGGTCACTTCCAACTCGGGGTATTCTGTAGTTCCAGGATTCTAGGTTCAGTGCAAGAGGAAATATTACTTAGCCAGCTCTTCCATGAAGCCAATCGTTGCTGCTATCACGACAAATGAACACCAACTCTAGCCTGCTAAATCTTCTAAAGGTCTCCAGTTTTGCAGAGGTGAAAGGGAAAAATAGACAATTCCACAAACCCATTACAGAAGGATTCTAATTAGAGATCTTTCAAAGGTCATTTTCCAGAGAGCTCAATATTCCATATGCCACACTACTGAAAACACCTGGCCCATATTTGGGGTAATAGAAAAGACATCTTTCCTATGAAGAAAGGCAGAGGGAGCTGGAGGTGTTCAGTCTGGAGAAGAGAAAGCTCTGGGGTGACCTCACTGCAGCCTTCCAGTACTTGAGGAATGCTTATGAACAGTGGGGAGAGCAAATTTTTACATGGTTTGATAGGGGTAGGACAAGGGGAAACAGTTTTAAACTAATAGAGGGGTAATTAAGGTTAGATGTTAGGAAGAAATTCTTTACTCAGAGGGCAATGAGGCCCTGGCACTTCTGCCAGAGCTGTGGGTGCCCCATCCTTAGAGGCGCACAAAGTCAACCTTGGGCCTTGGTCAACCTGATCTAGTGGGTAAAACTTCTATAAACAACACAGTGCTACTTCTCTGCCTCCCTAAAGAGCTTGTATTTCACCAACAGATTGTCCATCAGTTATCTTTCTCTGTGCTGGGAATCACTGCAAGACATCCCAGATCCCTTCACTGGCCAGCAGTTTCACAGCAGCAGTGAAGTCTGACAGATAGGAGTAATGCTGACCAACCACTGAGCCCTGGAGAGCACTTTCACCTTGGCCATAATGCCCCACACAGCAGTCAGTGTGCACCCAGGCTCATCTGAGGCTGATCAGTGCTGCTGTGACACCACTTATTTCAAATTGTTCACAGAGTTCAAAGGACTGATGGGTAAGGATCAGTCTATGCATGGATGGCTCAATCCAAATTTTGAATGGTGTGAGCTCAGCACTGTAAGTGCCAGCACCTCCCACCCCAACTGAGTGAATGTGTCACTGCAGTCTTCTGTCAGGTAGGATGCCCAGCTCCCTTCAGGAGCAGTCAGCTCACAGGAAGGTACTTGGTTTCACCCTGTTTCTGAAACCAGTGCAAATGTGACCAAAGGGGAGTTGTCAGATCTCTGAGATGTAAGATAAGCATCAAGATTAAGCCGTATTCAGGCCAAATCAATTAAAAAGGTGACTGGGAAACAGTCCTACTTGTGACTGCCTCAGGCTTCCTTATCTGCCACAGAGGCACAGCAGTGCCTGCAGGACTCAGAGGACTAGAAACCAACCTTAGTGATGCATGATTAGTGAGTTTTGAATGTTACAAAAGCTACAAGAACGCTCTGGGCAATCTTTTGGTCTGCCCTGACTGCAGGGATTATTGCTAGAAACACAAGTGAGTGTGATGATAAAGTTAGTAATGGACCCTAATGGCTTTACACATCCCTCCTGCTAGCAAAACAACTCTACCACCCATATCTGTCACCTGTTAGTGGCAGTGGTTTTCAGTCTTTTTATTGAAACCTACACCTTTGTTATATATACATATAACTTTTCAGCATTCACCTGAAATAAAAGTTAGGGAAAGCTGGGGTTTACTGCAACTAGCTAACTCACATGAAGATTAAAGATGGGAAGGGAGAGAGAAACGAGAGAGGGAGAGGTCTAGCAAACAGTGTCATGGCCTCCTCATCAGCACAAAATGACCTTTTCATTCAGAAGACTGAACAATGTGTAGAACATCCACACAGATGTAGCAGAACCAGAAACAGATTCCACTTCTGGTAGTTCTGCCTGCAGAAGAGCTGCCTTATGTAAGCCATGAGAGACTTTGCAGCTGAAGTCTTTTTCACCAAAGCAGCATATCAGACCTATTTGCAACCTCTAGGCCAGTGCAGTGCCCTGAATGGGAAACATTACTTTTTCTCCAATCGATGAGAGAAAAACCAAGACTAACTCAGCAGCTTGTTTGAAAAATCCTGGATTCTTGTACATTTCCCAGACAGTAACATCTTCTTCCCTTCTGCTGTTAATTTATAGCACATGTTGGGCAGCTGGCAGTGAAGCGTTGTGGAAAAACTGGCTTCAAGTCTTCTTTCAAGATACAGCAGAAAACAGTGAAATCTCTAGTTATATATTACTGTTTATCATTAGAGAAGAAGGGTCTCACCTGTGAGCTATCACTTAAGACATGTACAAAACCAGATTAGCTGTCACACCACAGCTTTTCCATCTTACTTTCTTCTCTGGCTTCTTAACTGGCTCTGCCAGTTAATTCCAATGTAGCCAGCAACAAGCAGTACACGAAGGGAAAAGTACATGCAAACTGCTTCTATGCATGCAAGCAAATGTCCAAGAAAACATTATTCTTTTAAGGGATTTAATTCTTTATTAAAATAGGAGATATACATGCATTCCCCCCTCCAGCTAAAGGATCACCTTTAGCTTCAGCACATCCCATATCTTCCATGTGAAGTTGTCTCACCAGATCCAATCAGGTATATTTCATTGCTCAATAGTAGAAAGGAAATGAATTTTTCTGATGAGAGGAAGACAGAGTGAATAGCTTTATTTTCCTCCCCAACACCGTTTGCAATCAGTTTTGTGCTGCTGCAAAGGAAGGCAGTGTTTTCCTGGGTCAGAGGTGGCTAATTATTCATAGCACTTGCATTTCCATCATACTTCTGCCGGTTGTCATTCTAACTATTTTGTGTTTGATTTACTCTGCACTGTTCTTAGCTTTGCAAGTCTATCTGCTATTCAAACTTGTACTATTCCTGGGCTAATGCCAGTAGCTCTGGCTTCCCAAGAAACTGACAAGAGGACTTTGGCCAACAATCCCAAACCAGAATATGGTTATTTTGGTATTATTTCACTAAGATGGGTCAGTGTCATCCCTGTTTTTTCTAACAGCAATAGAACCCCAAAGGCTGGAGAAGTGTATTAGTCCAGGCTCAGCAGGGGGTTGAAGCTGACAGTCCTTAAATCTTCGGCCAGAGATTTCCCTGCTAGTGCTCAATGATTCCCTCTGATGAGTGCCCATTTGGCTCCAGCAAACTGCTACACACCTGTGGTTCAGTAACAGCACAGCAAATGTATCTCAGCTCAAGCAAGTCCAGTCTCAAGTGTGCAGTGAGTTCAGAGGGCTTTAAAGTACCTTTTTTAGACTTTCTACATTCATCTTAGTACATCCAGTACTAGGAATCCCTTGCTGGAAATGGGTTCTGTGGCAGCACATGAAATTCCAGAAAGGCAGTGGTTGGCTAGCTTTTACAACCAGAGTTGCTGCATCTTCAAGAATACCAAGTTTAATTTTAAGGACAACTATTTCACTTTGAGTATCAGAAAAACATTTATGATTTCCCATAATGACATAAGATCTGGCCAAATTCAATAACTACTTTTAAAGTTTGGTTTCAGAACAGATGCCAGAAAGATGAGAGGGAAACAGGGAATGAGGAAAAAGAGAAAACCCACAGCCACTGAATTATGTATTTGTAATGGCATTCAATATTCACTGTCATTACAGGAATGTTATGCTTTATGATCCCAGCAACTTACTGGGAGAAACAGGTAAGATTCACAGTGCTTCACAATCCCCTTGCTCAGGGCTTGGCTTTCAGGTGCTGCTGGGAACTACAACACCTCAATGGAAGCTGGCCACATTAATCATGTCATATTTGGCACCTGGTGTAATATTCTGACCATAGATACCACGACCGATTTCTTATGCTCTTTAGAGATAAGACTTCAAATGGACAGTTATATTTATGTGATTTTACAGCTACCTCTATTCACTCATATGAGGAGATACTTACCCAAAGCTTGAGGATATGCTGAAGAGCCTCAAAGGATTATAAAGGATTACAGACCATTTAACATATGAAATTGTTGTGGTTTAACCCAGGGGGGAGCTAAGCACCACACAGCCATCAGTGCATTCCCCCACAGTGTAATCAGGGAGAAAACTGAAAGGGGTGAAAAGTGTGAGAACTCATGGGTTGAGATGAGGACAGTTTAATAAAGTGATGCACAATGCAATTGCTCACTACCAGCCAAACGATTTCCCAGCCAACTCCCCCCAAGTTTTGTTGTTCTCTATGATGTCACACGTTTCTGTGGTCAGTTTGGGTCAGCTGCTCTGCTTCTGTTCCCTTCTAGCCTCTCATTCACCTCCAGCTCACTCATTGCCAGAGCAGCACAAGAAGCTGAAAAGTCCTTGAACGGTTACTCTGCACTGCTCAGTAACAACTAAAACATCACTGTTATCAATGCTGTTTTCATACAGAATCCAAAACACAGCACCATATTACAAAGAAAACTAATTCTATCCCTGCCAAAGTCAGAATGTACATATAGATTGGCCACAACCCCCCACTCTTGAACATGACACTGACTTTGACAGTCTGCTTCACTCAGTCATTTCAGACAACTGAAAACACATTTTAGTCTGTCCTTATCTTCCAAATTCTATAGGCTAATCTCAACCTGCTGAGGAATTGTGGGCATCGTCTCCATATTTTCACAAGACATTCTGCCTGAAATTCTATTGTCTTGGTTAGGTTAACAGTCATGCCTGGGACAGCCCTACACCTCCTGGAGCCTCCAGTTCCACAGAATGCTCATGCCTGTGTTTGCAGATTGAGGAAGGGTTGCCATATGCTGATTCAGCAGTAATTTTTTACTCATAGTCAGCAGTGTCCAAAAAGTCAGCATGCAGGACTTTCTGCCATATGGAGAAATGGTTATTTGGATTTTTCTCTAGCTGTATCTCATTAGGCAAAAGGGAAAGAAAAAGAGGAGGACTTTATTTTCTTCTTCTTTGCAAATCTTGGCCTGGAGTTCACTTGAAAGGCAGCATTAATTTATGGCAAGTCAGAGCAGAAGGAAGCTGTAAGAACCCAGGCAATTAAGGGCAGGGTTCTGTCCAGTTCAACAGATCTTCTTTAAGTCTTTCACACTTTGAATGTGACTTCTTTCAGGGGAGAGGGAGAAGTATTACAGAAAGACAGTTAGGGTTCTAGCAGGCAGCACAGACCTGAGTGGAGCAAGAACCTCAGCTTTCATGGAGGCTTCAGTGGTGCCTTATCTGCTGTAAAGCTCTTCTGTTACTCCGTATTCTGTAGCATTTAAGGGGTCATTAACAGCACTCCTGTGGTCTTCGTGTGTTCTGTGAAGTGTTTTACTCAATATGAGAGATTTGTTTAATCTGAGGCTTTGGTGGGATTTTGCTTTTTTTTTATTTATAGAAACTATTGTAGCATTACCATAGCACAGAAGTTTGTGTTTTAACTTTACAGAGTCAGTATCATGGCTTGCATACATCAGAGAAAAAAAATCAGATACAGGTTTAAAGGATACATAGGAACATCAAAGCTGCTCTGCTTCCTTACGATCTTCCTCGATGTAGAAAGATGTCAGGAGGAAAAAACCTCCTCCAAAGACACCAACAAAAACACAGATGAGGAAGCTGTACTGCAGGCTGCAGAAACTCCACTGGAGTGACTGATCTTTCTTGGCTTGAATAGCATTGGAGATCTAGGGAGTGAATAATGTTGTCATCAATCTGAGATAAAACCATACTTCTCTCATGATTTAAGCAGACTCTTCGCATTGTGGTCCTTGAAAAGAATAAAGCTGAGCAGGTGGGGATAAAAAGCCTGCTGCTATCTTGGTTTGACAAACCCAGTGTCTGGTGCACCTACACTGCACTGCTGTTCAACTTCCATTTGGTTGAGGTATCTCATGGTTTACTGTACTGTTAGTGCATCAAGTCACAAGAACAAGAAATAATGCAAGCAATATTTATCATGACTGGTAACCATTAACTCATTTTACCATTTTCTAGCCCATCTCCAGATAGCCTGCAAAGGACAGATGTTTGGCAATTACTTTCATCATTTCTTGATGTTATTGGATAACTTTATCCATCCTTAATCAGCAGCAAATGAATAGAAACAGAATTGGCACCGATACAGCCACGAGAAGCAATAGCCATTAAAAAGGGAAGAGCTAGAAATTGATTTTGGAGACAAGAGAGGAATCTGGTTTGAAGCCAAAAGGCATTTAAGGAGTCATGGAGTGATACTGCGAGGAATGGGAAGAAGATACCAGGCAGCTGCTTTTTTTCCACTGGTTTGAAGATGAGTTTGTAAAAACTATAATGAATTTTAGTTTTGCAGACAGAAAAGCCACTTTCAAGAAACCTACAAGGTTCAGTATTTAACCCAGGAACTTAAAGACTCTTCTTAGCACAAACAAAAAGATGAATGTTGAATGCAGCCCTTTTTATTCCCACATTTGTCTTTGGTTATTACAATATGCTACGTGACTGGAAATACATTATTATGAGACTCTTCAACCTTTGCTGGGTTTAATATGATTATGAATGACATTTTAAGGAGATAAGAGCAAGATCAGCTCTAAATGGGCACCTAGGGACTAAAGCTAAGAAAACAGCAAAAATACAAACCCAGTGGGTTTAATTTAAAAAGTAAGGAAATCTCTGGAGTGCAAAGGGAAGAAAACCAGAAAAAGACAATTCACTGCCTCTCCTGAGAATTTATAAACTAAAGCCTTAGTTGAAGTAGGTTAGCAAACAACAGCAAGATCTGAAAACAGAAGATTCAGTGTTTAATCAGCAGCAGATAAGGGCAGTGTTGGTGTTCTGATACACAGAAGCCTCCAGAACAGTGAGGTACTCTTTGCCAGGGACCCCACATGGACATACAACAGTTCTATTCCTGGATTTATCATCTCTGTTCTTTGCAAACTTGCAAGGTTACATGAGGATATATCATGACAAACTTTTTTCATTTTACTCTTCTCAATTGGCTGCTATTTAAGGCAACCTCGTGCCAGGTACTGCATAAGAAGTATTCTGCACACAGTTACTAGCAGGATGCAGCAGCACATTCAGCAGGAAGCCTCAGTCCTGCCTGTGCCTCCAAGTTAGCAAAGAACAGAAAATAAGAAATAAATACAAACATATTCATCTCCCAGGAATAAAGCAACAAAATAGTCAAATAGTGGAGAATGCACAAGGCATATTCCAGCTTTTAAGAACCTCCCATTTTTCTGTATTATTTTTGGTGGTTTCAGTGACACAAGGATGTTGGCTATCTTGTTTGAATATGGCCAAATCAGTGCTTGGGCAATGGTTTTATAATACACACCAATGAGAAAAAGGATCTCTTCAATTGCCAAAAGAAATGAGCTGCAGAAGGAATCCCTCAGTGAGAGAGGACTGTTCTCTGCTGCACAGATTACACAGTTAAGATTCCTACTTTCATCCAGGTGAGGAAAAGGGAGATCTGGCTGGCTGAACCAGCTTGCTTGGACATTTCTGTCTGGCTCTATGTCACTGTTTATATGTGAAAGAACAGATATTCCTGAAGTGAACTTCTTAAGATGACTTCCATATGAACAAAACTTACAGAACAACAACAATACAGTCTTCTATCAAACTCTCTCTCCCCCATGTCCTTTAAGGAATAAAAATCAAACTAGATGTGCAGAATTACTGCACACCTTAAATCAAAAATAATGAAGAAAGGGAACAATGCTGACAGATATCGTCCATTGGAACTAAAATAAATGATCTACAATGAAAAAATGGTAGTAGATTGCTTTGTCCAGAACCACGTAAGATTAAGGTGCTGTAGAAAGGGCAAGGAAAACAGTTCTCAAATAATATAGGAATTCAAGATTAAGGTCATTTGAAACCAGAGCTTTGAATGTCAAGTAACATCAAAAAGCAGTCACTGAGGTTACTCTTGTGATTTTCAACAGAATGCTGACCAATTCTAAGATTCAAAACTACGAATTTGAGCTAATACTTTTAGGTTTCAATACATAAAACAATATTTGATTTTTTTCTCAGGTGACACGTGGATGTGGCCCTTAAAGACATGGGTTAGTGGTGGGCTCACAGTGTTAGCTGAATGGTTGGACTTGGTGATCTTAAAAGTCTTTTTCAACATAAATGATCCTATGATTCTATGGTTAATTCATATGAAATTCTTCACTAACTTAGCAAAAAGTACTGAAATGCAATACCCATGATACTGCCCTTGCAAAAACGTGTGCCTTCAAATTTCATCAATTTTCAAATTCAAAATTTCTACACACTACAAGGAAACTACTCACACCCACAGACACAGCACCAGAAGTTGCATTCCACTTAAAAGTGTTTCCAAAAATGTCCCTCTGAATTCCAGTATCACGATGACTGAAGGCCAACAGCTTGACCGATTTCCAAGCTTCAGACCAGGAAGAGCCTCTACTTCTGAGAGTGTCCATCTTTCAGCTTCCAAAAGATTTACTCTAAAGAAAACCCAGATAAGCAGAAAATTCCCTTACCATCCCAATAAGGTATGGGCTGCCTGCATCTCCCAGCAAGTGGCTCACCAAGATCTGCAGGGCAATAGCTGTAGACTGCCGTCTTGGTGTCACGACATACTGAAATGAAACACAACACACAAGAGAATGGATATTATTAGAGTGCATCTCATGAATGAAGTAGGTGCCATGGCTATGAGGGATGTCAGCTGAGACCCTACAGACTGCGTGAAGGCTCAGCCAGGAGACCCAGCCTGCCCCACCAGAAGGCAGTTTGATTACAGACTGCTGTAATTGGAGAGCACCTGAGTGCAGCCACCTCAATAACCAGACCTCAGAGTGACTGTGCTTCTGAATCCACAGGGCTTAAACAACAGCTTGAAGAAGATGTGACATATATCCAGAACACTGCAATGGATCGTATAGATTATAGCTATTTTTTAAAATGAAATATAGTCATTTGGGGTTAATAGGGGCTTTATGTCTGTGCTACTGAAGAAAACAAACTGTGCTTGAAGAAATACAGTATGATTGCACATAATTTGTTTGTGTCTCTCTCTGTAATACATTTATATTATTACATGGTTAAGGGAAAAGCATTCACAGAATGAGACAGAAGCAATTTTAAGCTTTTATGTCTTTGTTTTTTCCGACCACCTGCTCGTACCACAGACAAAATGCTTAATACCCTCTCTTCCTCTACTTGGGCTTTTCTTGCAGATTTATGTGAGCATCACTTAAGGTGTCTCAGACACTCACTAATGGGGTGATGTATTTTGCCAAGAGACAAACTCAAGGTATGGAAGCTATTGCAGCTTTATAGCTGCCTTCAAGGAACCACTAACATGCATGACAACAAGTTGGGAATAGAAGAAAGAAAAGATTCTGCTCTCACATTTAACTTAGGGTTTTATTATCATTCTATGTGTGTGAAGAGGCCTCAGAATATTAAAGAAATATTCTCTTATCACTAAGATGTAGCTATATCACAACAGCAGCATCAGTGCCTTATCTTCACAGCGGATGTAAAGAATTGCATTAATGTAAATTAAAACTGGAGGGTAAGGAAGCAACATTGTCCACAGCAAGATTAGTTATTCTTGTGAGAACAAAAGAAAATATTTCAGTCTCACTCTCAGAGTGAATGAGAGAGATAAGCAAACCATAGTGGAAAACTCTGGGCTTAGGGAGCAGACCTTGCTATGGCAGAACTACACTGGTGATTTTCTGCTCTTGGCTCTCTGAGGATATCATATCAGCTGCCCAAGACTTGGTTTTCTTTCTTCTGCTGATAATGACAGGCTGTGTTTGAGAAACGCAGATCAAACATTGTTATGTCCTTAACATATTCTGGGCGTTGCAGGCATTGGAGAATAAAAATGCTCTTTCTCTCTCTGTGTGTCCTGCACCACTTCATTATGGCATGCACTTAGCACCTCATGTCTGCAACTTTGAGACACGCGGAACCAAGCTCTAATGAGAAAAACAGACAAGAAAGATAGCAGCTTCCCATAGTTACGAGGCTCCCTCATACTCTCACTGTGCTGTTATTCAGGTTCTTCTACAAAATGGAAACATTACACAAAAGCTCAAAACTCTGTAGGCCTCACTGGGAAAAGAAGAAACTGATCACTGCCACATACATGAACTTTGGAATAACTCGTCCAGAGTAACCGCCCAGGAGCTCCCACCATGTCAGCAGTGCAGGTGATGCTCTGTGCTCTGCTATCTCCTAGGAGATGTCAGTCTGGATGCCTGAATGGATACACAAGGTGCCCACATTGCAATTTGCAAGCCTTGTTGTGCTGTCTATGGAGATTTCAGACTACGTGACAGAGCTGTCAGCTAAAAAAGCAGATGGGAGAGACAGGCTGATAAACGCTTCTGCATCTCCCAGGGCACTTATAAACAAAGACAGGAACATGTTGGTAACCTTCCCAAGCTGAATATTAGCTTCCAGCTCCAGCAGCTCTTTTGCTCTTAGCTGCCAAAAGCCCAAAATGCTGAGTACCAGTACCTCACAGATGGTAAACAAGTATTTCATAGGGGACTCACTGTGACAGCCTCCCAGTCAGCCCAAGCACTGCAAGCAGGGCAGCTGCAGCACTGCTCTGCCTGCACGATCTGATTGCAGCCATACAGCAGGTACTGTTATGTTTACAGCTGAATGAGGGGTACAGAGGTTGCTACATGCAATGCATCTTGATGTATTAGCCACAAAGAAAGAAAGTCTTTATCACTCAGTCAACATCTTCCTTTTGTGCTCCACAGGTCACAGGATAAATAAATTCCGAGCTACATTGTCTGCCTGGCAGTGTCATATAGGGAGGAGGAAAAGTAATTTTCATGGCAAAATATGAACAAGCATTAGCAAATCCAGCCACAATATCTAAATTCTACCAGATCACACAGGAGATAATGCAGAAAAACAAGTTCCTGTTGTTGATTATGGCATCCTTCAGTCAATGTAATAGAAGTAATACACTGAAACGTGGATTTTCAGCAGGATGAAACAGAAATCCCAAATATGATTGGCATTGAATGAGCAGCCATCCACAGATGCAGCTGAATTCCATCATTTTTCTGACAATTTCAAACAATTACTAACATTTAGAATTCCACAGATCCATGCAAAGCACAATGATGGCTATACACAGCATCCCTGCTTTGAGGGGAAGCACATCATGGCAGAGCTCTACTCTCCACATTCCCACTGTTTGCCAGCCAATGCAGTATTGCTTGAACCTAATACCAAAATGCTCTAAAATAAATAACAAATGAAGTGTGTCAGTCACTTGGGAGACAAGAACTTCCTCCTCTCCTCAGTTTATGTGGATGGAGGATATGGCAGTGACACTCAAATGGATTTTATACAGGCTGTAATAGGATGCAGCATTCCCTAAGCAAGTTCAGACCAGAGCGACTGAACTGAATGCAAGCACAGCTCCCTGCAGGCTTTGCAGCTTGGGACCAGCACTCTCTTGTGCCTTACTTTCCAATCCTGCATCAACAGCATCTAACTCAGTAACGCCATCTTCCTCTTCAACAATGGCAGAGGAGAGAATTAAAACACAGGGCTTGATGCAAACAGCCAATTCACCAATGCTGATTGCAAGTTTTATCTTCTTATCAAATTTCCAGGCTGCACAAAAGTGACCTGTAGAGAGCAGTACTGTGAAAGAGTAACTTGAGAACAGAACATGGCAGTCAATATCAGCAGTGCTGTGTTGAATAACCATGAAATATTGGTTGTTTTATTCATTCATCTCCATCAGAATGGAAAGGAAGATTTTTCATGCTATGAAGTTAGAGGACAAGCAGGCTTGTGTCATAAAGGCAGGGTCATTCAGCCAAGCAGAGTTGCACAGTGCTTCATGGCCTGTCCCTTCTGTCACTGGAAAGTTCTCTGTGTTTGGCCTCACAATTTCACATCTTTTACACCAAAAGCTGTAACAAAGATACTTTTATTGCTGCTCATTTGTTTCACTGCTCCTTTAGGCAGCTGTGAGGAATGCCAATCAAGGTGTGTACTCTGAGCAAATAAGGCCATAGTGACAGCAACCCCAGCAGCAAGTTTTCAGTTCTTGTGGCAGCAAGAAATGATGGCAACCTTGTGGATAACCATATTTCTCATGAACCATAGGCTGCAAGTTTTCCTTACTGTCCTAAATTCTTGTGACATGTTACTGTGCATCACTGCATGCTGTGCTACACATGAATGCATTCACTGTGGTTCTTATTATATGAAAGATTTATTATGACAGTGGAATCACTTAGCAGTCTGCAAATAGATTTGAACTCTCTTGAAACGAGACTATTACATAAAAAGGAGATGCTGATGTGACCCTTGCTTAGGCTCTCTTCAAGATTTCCCATCATTAGCCTGAGGGTGGGAAACTCACAGATTTCTGTTGTGTTTTGCCCTCATCTTCATGTCTTCTCTAACAAGTCCTGAGAGCTTTAAACAATTTCTCTCCTTTGTCTTTTATTTGTACCAACTGTATCAGCATTTTGCCATTGCTACACCTCCAGGAACAATCTCTCTCTCAGGCAGCATCCTGCTTGAAGGGTTTGGGTTTCAGTCACACCCTCTGTGCTGTGACACTGTGATCCCTCAAAAACAATTCTAGTAAGTAGAAATCTGGACCTCATTTGTGCTACAGTACTTTGCACTTAGAGCTATTATTCTAAGCTCTGGAAGTTATCTGCACTGTATTCTGGAGTGAAGGAACTTGCTGATAGTTCACAAAATAAAAGAAGTGTAACAGATTGAGTAACATTACTTTACAGAATATCGACTTTCTCTTTTCAAAGCTTTGGGGCACAAACGTAGAATCTCTGAATAAAAACAGAAAGTGATCCTCTTTCTGATGGAGACCTTTTCTGGCAGACATCCTACAGCACAGAGCTGTACACAAAATCCAGACTACTGTGGGCCCCAGGAGCAGCAGGACACTGGCATGAGCTGCACCCAAACCAGTACACTTCTTTCCTGGGCTTACAGTGAGCTCGGGCTGTCACTACTACACCTGTCTTGTTAGCAGTACCTCTGCTGTGACACCACGCACCAGGTTACAACACAAATGTTAGCAGGGTCCCAGAAAGGGTATTCTTAGTAAGGTTTTGTTCTTCCTAGGAGGAGGAAGCAAGTCTTCCTGGCGAGCAAGATGCACATGTATGAACTATATTGTTGTGAAAAGCTGAAAATAAGCAAATAGTTTCACAAGCACTTACCAACAGTATGTCTGTCACAACAGCCCAGTTGACAGATAAAAATAATTCTCCAAATGCAATAAAAATCTGCAGAAAAGAAGAAAGCAGTGACTATAGAGACACACAGTGACTACACAGACACACTGACATTCCTTAGCATGAAGATGAAGGCAGTCTCATCAACTGTGCCTATCTCGACGAGTTGCTGTAATACCCATCACTGTATGAATTAATCTATGTCTATGCTTACAACCACTATGTTCATCTTAAATATGGAAAAAGGAACCAGAGAAGGTATGTGAGTTGCTTTGTGTGGCTCATACTCGGCAAAAGAGCCAAAGGAGGGAATATAGAAGCATTCTCATTAATAAATTGTATGGACTGAACTGCTGAGCCCAAGAGGAGGGAGGCAAATCTTGTGAAGGGAAACCTCCAGCACAGGGTTTAGAAACTGTTCAAAGATCTCCCTTTACACAGGTTCCCAAATGTAATCAGTTGAATATCTCTGTGCTGGTAAAAGTACTGTTAAAGAGTCCTTCAGAGAGGTAACTTCTGAAGCAAAATGGACTCCTATGGTCAGGCAGCCTCCAAGACTTGGTGCCCTATGGGAATTCCATAACTCATCACAGATGGAAACTCAGTCATCAGGAAAAAGGGGAAGGGCCCCCAGCTGTTCTTATGCCTGTCTTAGAAGAGATTAACCCTCTCAGCCAGACCCGGTCATGGATCTGAGCAGGCTCTACAGTCTAATCAGTATTTGAAGAAAGCATTAAAGCTACACTGCAAAGAGGGAGCTCTTCTAGAAGGCATACTCTACTTAGTGGCACAGGCCTCCATGTCAGATGACACCTGGAAAATAAACTTTGGGCCAAACACAAAATGAAATGTGTTGGTAATGTGGTTAGCAATAACACACTTACTGCCAAGCTGCACAAAAATAAGGACCAACAAGGTCAAACCTTGCAGTCCACCTCAAAATATCGGCCCTTCACCATCTAATCTCCAGCTGATGCTCTCCAGTCTCTCTTGGAAGATCCAAATTCATCAAGGACCTTCCTTTCCTTTTTTCCTCTGACCTGAAACATGCTGTTGTTTAATGCAGAGACACAGCCTATGAAGCAGTCAAAGCAGTGCTCATAGGGAAATTAGGGACAGATGTAGAAGTGCAGTTTTATTGCTATACAGTGATAACAATGTGAGTTTACCTAAATTCTGTTGGTCATGCCATAGCTAAGAAGAGATATGTGAGGTCAAGGGGAAACAGAGGGGAAACAAAGAACAAAGAGATGTATTTAAATCCTAGCTGACACTCTAGATACCACAGGATGAAAATAAAATGGTTAGAAGGTAAGGTTCTGAAGTCTCCCATCTGTTCCTCTGTATCATCAATGGACTATACGACTGCCTGCCTTCACACACCAAAGAACAGATTGCTCAATCCCCTTAATGCTCCATCTCCTTTATACATTTAGTACTTATAGAGTTGTTTCATGTTTGCCTTTTTCTTCATGATTTTTCAAGTCATTTAATCTCTTCAAGCCCCTAAGAACAGGAGCATGTCATGCCTAGCGTGAGAAAAGGGTGTAAAATTTATCTTTAGGAAACAAGTTATGTTCTCAACACAGAGTTTGAAGGAATGGGAATTAATGAAAAGCTGTCCATGCTGAGTGGATGTGATACCTAGTGGCTAAGATCTCATACTGCAGACAGTAATTATTTCACATGGAATTGTGTTACTGTTTGATATGCAGCTTTGTTAGCTTTTCTTTCTCTCCTAATGTTTTCTATGGACTGCAGTTTCAGGGCATCAGAAAAAAAAAAAAAAACAGAGAGAGAGAAAACAATAAATCATTCTACAGATTATACCAACATATTCTGTCTAAAATCAATATCAATTTTATACTTTCCCATGCAGAATAAATGCAGTATGGTTGAATAGATGGCATTCACATCCATCCAACAGCATAACAGCTGCAATATATAAATATGAGAAAGTTGTGTGCTGTTTTATCTCTAAAACAGGTGAAGATGTCCTGGAAGTACTGCACTTGGCAAGGGAGAAGTGCTTATGATGGCAGGAAAGCAGTGCTTTATTTAAAGCATATCCTTCTGGTTCTACAACCTCTCAGTATTCCTTGTACTGGCTCAAGTTCTTTTAAATTAATACAGAAACAGTTTCCAATAAATTCATGCAATCAATTTTGTGACATCCCCATTCCAATCTGCTAAGTGTATCCAGAAACACTGTTTTATTGCTGTCACCTTCTCTAGGACAATTTTTTAAGAGACTGAATGCTTGCAGCTGGTTTTCAAAGGATGTAACCAGAGCAAGGTCCCAAATTTTAAGGAGATTTTGCTTTGTAGATGGTCATTTATGAAAGGCCAATATGAAGAGAATTGGATTGTAATTAACATCAAACAGACGTTCTGCTTTTAAACAGTCACATGTCTAGACAAATAGAAGAGTTAGCATGGCTGGACCATGTGTTGTCTGGTTGGTTTTTTTCAAAAGCTCTACACCACATAGGTGTATCAGAGACAAGGGCTGCAGTGTCTCCTCCAAAGGCAATTTGCAGGGCAAGACTGTGTCTTCATACAGCAATACCATTAAAGCTAAGTCCATTTCAATTAACGTTCCCTTAGCACCAAATACAGTCCAAAGTTCTCAGATGCAGGGTTCAGACGTGACTTTCCAAAGCACCTCCTGCACTGCAGACAGCATATTTGTCTTCTTTTGGAAAGAGAAAAAGGTGTAGACAGAGCCTCCTCTGTGATAACAAAGCCAGATCATTTTCTTTGCCTTCTCAAAGAGCTTTTGGAATCAAGAACTGTGTGTCCAGAAAGAGAAACTTCATGACATTTCAGTTCACCTACTCCAACAGAGACCTGGAAGTCCTGCAATATTTATGCGTTAACTCAAGAATTCCTGTGCTTTCAAACTTTTATTCTAGCTTTGTCCATAGCAGAGGACACCCATTCATTCCCTTCCATTATTCACTCACGACAGTGGAAAGCACTGTACAAAAACTACTACACTACTACAACTGCAAGACGTGGTTTTTTTGCCTCAGTGACTTCTGCACTGAAGTGAAGTGATGGAGACAGGTCTGCTAACATTGGAGTGCCTGGATAGACAGCAACTGGAAAGCCAGTTTCCTGCCAGAGTCCTACACAAATGGAAGAGGGTTTCATGGGAACCCTCGGATTAGATGCACCAGCTGGCATGCCACTCCAATTCCCACACCAGTATGACTCGTGTCAGATCCTGTTTGGGAAGCAAGGAGAGGCACGTCTAGTGCCAGAGAAGGCAGAGGTTAAACAGCCACGTGGCAAAAATATTAGAAGAAAAAGGTGCTTAGGATTATGTATGATTTGTTACCCCTGCACATTGCTGGCATTACGTGCGGGAACACCGGAAACAAAAACATCAAACAAAAGACACAGTGGCAAAGTCCCTGTTTATGGGACTAACTGGTCTGCCCACAGGAAGAAACCTAAAGAATCCAGCTATCCACATCCTGGTTTACAATTTCCTCCCAGATAACAGCATGAAGATAGAATGCTGATTGCAAAGAGAGAAATATTTAAAACAAATTCTGTTTTATCCATCCTAATAAAAGGTGTGGTTTGGAAATGGGTCATTAGAACTGGTGCATTGATTCACTCATCTAATACAGACTGACAAACCAAACACAGCTCTGACTGGGCACTGCACCTTTAGTGGCAAAAGAGAACTGAAGGAGGTGTTCAGGATGGGACGATGTAGCAACCTAAGAGGCCAAAAAAGAAAATGGTTATTTCTTTGGGCATTTATATCTCTGCTCTTGGATTCAAAAATAATCTTTAATTTCACACTTTGCTTTTTGCACACACACACCGACTTGCAAATCTGATTGTTTTTAGCTTTGGTTTAAAGGTGTTTTTTCACAGGAATGCATATTCTTGAGGAGTCAAAAGGAAAACCTCTTTGAACAAGCAAAAAAGCTGCAAAAATACCCTGTTGCAGAACTGTTGATTACTGTAATTAACTTTACTCGGATGCTCTCATTTATGATAATCACAGTAATGGTGGCTTTGGATTCACCACATTATAGTTAAAATAAAGTTTACATTCAGTCCTCTCTCTCGAGGTGTTTTTTGAACTATTCCTCATTCATAGGAAGTTTCTGTTTTGCTCTTTATTGAAAACAGAACTTCAGTGATTTATACGTCATGTTGCATTGCCAAAAGCTTGACTTTGAACATCAGGTTGTGATTGGGGGCACTGAAGGTGACGGCTAAATTATTCTTAGCAAGAACTCTGTGTATTGTACAGTCCAAGTACAGCAATCTTTAAGTATTCAGAGAGTAAAAGAAACAAGAACACTAAATTAGTCACATAGCATTAAAAATTAACATAAGATTGAGACTTCTTTTAACTACATTTTTGCATATGGACATCAAGCTTCAAGTGGCCAACCACGTAGGCTTACAATACTCTTTTTTAGCCCAGGCCAAGTCTGTACGTCCTGAGTTCTGATTTCTGACACTCTGCCTGCCTACCCTCTCCAGTGGGCCAAGTAATGCACACTGAGTCTCACAAGCAGTATTGGAGCTAGCAGACCTCTTTGTCCCAATTAATGAAACCCCTTAATTGTCCAAAGAACTACAGGAATCCAACAGTAGCAATCCTTCTCCTCCCCTCCCGCTTCCCTAACTCCCCAGGATTCCAGAAGACATCTTCCTAGTGATAGACAAAGTGGCACTCACAAAAGTGGAAAGGATGTTCTTCTGGGCCACCATGATTGCTATGTAGAGGCACAGGGAAGAAACAAGCATGCTTGTAGCACAGATCAGAGGATCAGCTCTGCTGTTGGTTTTCCTTAGTCTTCTTGCAGCTTCTGCCCCAGCAATGACACCCAGGATTCCCGTCCCGATGGTGATGCCTCCAAATATTAGGCTGGTGACAAAGCAAAGGAGCCAGTTAAGTGCAGGAAAATCATATTGTAGAAAGTTTGGTGTTAGATTGGTGTCCCATTGTCAGCTTATACCTTCAGCTTCAGAGAATCTTTAGCTGGCAACTTGAATTTTACTCCACTTGATCTAACCTTCCCACTCTTTCTAAATGGATTTAGTCCCATGCCTAAATTGCAGCTATGCCTGTGCAACAGAGGCTGTATCCTGTGGAGTGGTTATTTTCCCATTTACTGAGCTGGTATTACACACCCAGCCTCAAGGAGGACTCTTCCCAGCATGACCTGGCTTGGACATCCAGTGATTCAGAGGAGGCACAGTCATCTTGGTTAGCCTGGGAACTGATTGACTCAGTCATCCTTAAAACACAGATGGAATAACTCTGTATCACAATCTGCTGTCTTGGAAAGAGATCCTATCACACAGAATTATATACATCTAAATTAGAGCCCTCAGGCTGAGATGACTCACCTCTCTGACTAGGGGATACAGCTACCAGTACTCAGAACTGTTCACAGAACACTGAATACTTAACCAGTGGGATATCCATGTAGAATTTTCTGAATGCAGAATTTCAAATGCCATCCAGTTTTTACATCTGAAAATGAAAATTTGTTCCCTGGGAGCAGTAAGTTTTTAAGAGTATACATTCAAATAGATTAGAAGTTTCAGCTTCCAATAGCCTTCCTGATAAGCTATTCTCTCAGGCTCAGGTGAGACCCTAATGACAAAGCAAGCCTCTTGAAATGAGTCCAGTGGTGCCACTGATGGTTTAATGCATCAAAAACTCTACAAGAAAAAACGTATTGCTATACTACATAACAAATTTTAAGCACGTTTGTACTCCTCCTGTAAATTCGTCAGGATTCCGTATAGCTTGTTAGAGACAATATAGATTGACCAGGCAGAATAAGTAATTTGCAGATTTGTCCAAGAGAAGCAAGCTCCAAGGTGACATTACTTTATCTAAGCATTCACAGAATTGTGTTTAGAAAATTCAAGTGCTGTAGACTGCAGCTAAAATAAACCTACAGCTGGAAGAAATCAGAGCACAGTTCAGCTGACAGGGAGAAGGAAAGCAAAGAATCCCAATTCTGGGGAAAGGACCCTATGGGATCCTTTAGGGCTTAAGAATGCTCCCATATCTCTATGATGTGTTTGAAGATGTCTGCACAAAGACCAGAATAAAAACTTCACAGTGCTTATTTATCTACCTTGAAAGGACTGAGACCTGAGTCAGCTGTGTGCTATTTGAATTGGTGTTTCCAGAGAGTCCAAGTGACACAGCTCTATCCTTAACAAAAGCCTACAGCTGCTGAGCAGCCAGAGGGGACAGCATCCTCACAGCATCCCTGAGCAGGTCTGGGAACATGCAGCTCAGTCCTCCCAGCACTCCCAGCTGCAGGGCTGACATAGCTGTTTGTATTATTTTTCTCTCTATCCCCCTGGAATAGCAGCCTCGAACTTGCCTTATGCTGCCTCTGGCACTAGCTTACACCAAGGTTATTTTTAAAGCATCCTGTAAAATGCAGTACATGAGGTTAAACTATCAGAGCTCCCTTTTACTTACCTGAAAAATCATGTCTGCTCTAGAAACACTACTGTGGAATAATAATTCAAAGCATAAGATAAGTTAAGCTAACACTATCAGCTTAACAATTAAAAGTATTTTAAAAGTTCAGCTTCCTTTTTTCTCTCTACCCTGAGTCAAATTCCTAATTCACTCACTTTCTTAGTGTTATTTGCTATTAAATAAAGTGCTGGTGGTGGCATCCAGGGAAAGACAACTGCATTGAAGTACCTGTGGATGACTTTTCAATGTAACTTCCACTCGTTTAAAACTGGACAGTTTCTCTCTGAAATCCATCATGAAAATAGATTCTTCTCCCATTGTAAATGAACCTTGCCCACCCAAAATTTGAATCTCTACTGGTCTGGACTGTCTCTGTAAGCAGAGCTCTGCTGGCAATTATTCACATGAGCAAATTATCTTGATTTGACAATAATACAATACCAGATCAATTCATCAAGCTTGCTTTGTGCTGGGACTCACAAAGATAGCCAGCTTGGCAGTAGTTTTCAAACCAGACTAACAGGAAGGTAGTAGGAAAGTTACTAAAATGCAAGATTTAAACATGCCTAAATGTGTGTGTAAGTGTCATGAGGTGCAGAGTCAATAGTTAACTGAAGTCTCCTTTCCAGTGTTGCTTCTTTCCCTGTAAATGTTTCCTTTACTGCTTCTTTCCATTTTACTTAGACAGGGCTGGCAGCATCTTTCCAGTTCACTGAGTGATCACAAACAAACAAATAAATAGGAGTATCTCAGGATACCTGGAAGCAATTTGATCTAACATTCACACCTCTTTACCTTCACAGAGCATTCACAGTCACATCCTACCTTCCACCTTTGGAAACAACTTGTGATATAGCACTGCACAGTGTTCCCCATGTGTGTTTAACCAGCCTTGCACAGCTCACCTGTTAGATGAATTGCATGATTTTTCCAGGCACTGCTGCACAATGCCCAGGGCAACCTGAGCCCTGTAAAGGAACACTGGTACCCACAGCCCCAGCGCTCCAGTGACGAAGGCCATGGCAGTCAGACCCAGCGAGGACCAGACAAAGCTCCAGCTGGAAGATGAAGGAAATGAGAGCTGTTTGAAAGAATGGGACACGAGGCTGGGCCCACATGCACTGTCCACAATGTCAAGCAATAACAAAGCAGTACACTCAGATATCTCAGCCAAAGTTATGACTGCATTCACATGAAGGTATGAACTTTGATGGTGCTTTATCTATGAATTTTGACAGCAAAATACTAATTAGAGTGAAGATTGTGACCTACTGATTCCATGTTAAGTGCCAGTCATGGTCTCTTGTAGATGTTACTGCTAAATATTCTAAAACAACTGCTGTGACATTTTTGATAGCAGAACTACAACAATTGAAAGTGGGCAAGAATTCTGAGATTTAGCAGCTAAGTTAAAGGGTTCTGAGTGCAACTTTAAATTCCTCAGGGTGGATTTCAGCTGTTTGTATAACCAATGCAAAAGAGCAACTTCTGCCTCTTTCCAACAGTTAAGGGGTGGTGATTCAAGTACTTTAATTCTAGGTGATAAAGTGAAAACTGATCTCAGTCTGCACAGAGAGCTATCAGATAGAAGGAGAAATGTTTGAATCATGTTGCCTTACTGCCCTATTTTAGTAGAAAATGAACTTTTTACTGAGCTCTTTCAAGCTAGAGGTTTACAGAAATCCCCTTTGAAATCAATGAGGAGTTGTGAAATCTTGAGATGAAATAAAAGTGCTGTGAGTGAGGAGGTGACTACCAACAAGAGGATTTCTTAAGATACGAATCTGATTCTACAACTCTTAAAGATAAGTGGCTCTTGCACTTAATGCAGAGTGGAACTGCTTTTGACAGTGTGTCCTTATGCTTTGGGAATTGGTTCCAAAAGGAAAATGAAATTCTAGTTTTATAACATTGCTGAAGGTTGCAAGAAATTTCTCTGCAGAAAAACAGCTTTGGCATTAGTCTGGCTGTTGACATGTCAGGGAGGTTCAGACTGCTGCTGCTGCCTGCAAACTGTCATCCAACAAAAACGGCCTCTAATGATTTCACTGCTCCAGATGCAAATAGGATGCAAATCTAATCATCAATTGGAAAACGCCGGCTCCTGCAGAAGGAGAACACTCCAAAGAAAGTCCCAGAGCAGCAAGAGGAGCATCTCTTTAACTGAAAAGCATTTCGTCGGGACCCCAGGGAAGCAGCCTGCCGGCGCGGGCAGCGCAGAGCGGGGTCTGGCGCAGGTGCACAGCGGCACCTGCTGTTCTCAGACCGGATCCACCTCTTCCACCCCGACCTCGGCAGCATATTCACCAGCTACGAGGCGGAAGGGGGGAACATCCTACCTAAAGCACGCTGATCGGACTTTCCTCGGGCACTAAGAATTACAGATGAAGTTACACCTGCAAAGTGTACCAACCTATCCTACCCTGCATGCCAAAGTAAGAGAGAAGGGGAAACTTGGTGGAAAGTAGAACTGGATTTAAACAGAAGCACTCTGCCAACATTGCTTTGCCTCCTTCCCCCTTGCTATAGGGAAACAAAACAAAACAAAAATAATTTTTAATATCTTTCTTACTATTCCTGTAAAAGGGTGGGAGAAAGATTTTGTCAGAGCAGTTTCAGTCACCTTGCCTACAGCATGCGGTACAGAGGAGCTGAGTAGGATTTGAAAGCTGTACTTCTAATACTAGAATGGGCATTTTTCAGTTGTTGCTAAAATCTCTTACTTCTTGCCAAGCGATGTGACATCTTGACACCAAGAAGTCTTGGCAGCTCCTTGTGCACCAGGTTTTTCGGCTGCTACTCGTAAAGAGCCGTGGATGCTCAGTGCTCTGTGTGCCTCTGTCCTCCTCTGGATCCTGTGAGGGACCAGCAGAATCAGAAGAACCAGAGCTAAACCTCCCATGCAAGGAGTAACCTGTAAACACAAAGCTGGTTAGATCGAGGATATCATTTTTTCTTGTAGCAAAAACTCCACAGCAACTCAAACTCAGATACAGAACTGCATATCAGAGAATTGTCAGTGTGCTCAGAAATCTGTGTGTAGATCATAATTGTAAAGAAGAAGAGTGGATTTTGGTGATTTTAGGTGACTTTGGAGGAAGAACAACGAATGTCCCTTCCCCATCATAGAGACTTATGATAGCTTACTCTGATTTTAGAGGAATCCAGCTGAAAACTACATGGAATACTCTGATCAAGCCCAAGGACCGATGATGCAGCCGTAAAAGACTGCTATACAACCATTCCAAGTGTGTCCTTGGATGAGAGGAACATCAGCACCTGCCCTGGCTGCAGTATGAGTTCCCCTATATCTTTTTCATTCTACAAGAGCCGGGCAGAAACACTCCAGTCATCCCAGCAGAAACAGTTCTGTGACCAGCCAGAGAACAGGAATCCCCTCCACTGCTCACCTCAGCACCGTGAGCACATCAAGCCAAACCTCAGCCAAAATTTTACAGCAAATGGCCCAGGATCACGAGTGGAAGTGATTAACTCACCCTGAAGGCCCAGTGCCAGTCACCTGTGACATGTTCCATGCTGGATGCCAAGACGTAACCAAGACCACTGTAAGAAACAGAAGGGGATGATCAGTAAGTGCTAATGAACTCATGCTGACTGAAACAATGTGTCTCACCAGTTAGGGAGAGCACAGGGAAATATTCTATCATAGCTTTCAAAACAGATAAAACAGAAACAACACACATGGCCTCTGCTGGTTTCCTTGCCAATGGGTATTAAGAAGAGAATCTCATCTCCTCAGAGCAGACTTGAGACAGTGGTAATAACATCCCAGATTTTCACTGGATTATACATTCGTAGGATGACACTGATCCAGATCAAACAGCCCACAGAGTGCTCTGTTATTTGCTCCCCTCTGTGCAAGCTGTGTGAAATAAGCCCTACAGGAATTCCTTTTGTTTTAGTCTGGGTTCTGGGCTCATCCTCAACTGCCTGTTCTAATAAAGAGTACGAAACACTTACAAAGCCCTTCTCCACCTCTCCCTCAGACACAAAATCAATTTGAATAAAAGAGGGGACGAAAGTGCCAATTCCTCCTTAGGATATGCTTAATAGAGAGACACAACAAAATTGTCAGGTAAACAAATATTTAAAAACTTCTATTTTCAATTGAATAAATAAATAAGTCACACATATTTATTTTAGAATTAATTGAATGTTTTATTCAAAACTTGTTTTCAGAGCTTAGTTTCTCCCAAAATGTTGAGAGAAAAGTGATTTTTCCTTCAAAGTAAATTTAAAAATAAACCCAATCAGTGCTATTTGGAGATGCTAAGCAAGTGACAAATCCTTTTGCAAGAACCAGTGCAGATATATGTCAAAATCTGTCTAATCAAGGTTGAGGGTACATTAAATTGCAGGCCTGCTCAGACAGAATTTCCAAAGGCAGATCAGTTGCTAGCAAGAAAACCAACCTTCCCACTGGAATGCAGATATAGAAGACAGACAACATCGTGGTCCTTTTTCCCTCATCAAACCGATCTGCAATGATGGTAGGAGCTACTGTGGAATAACTGGCTGTGCCAATGCCAACCAGTCCTCGTGAAAGAAAGAATATCCAGCAATACTGCAGGCAAAAGGCATCATGTGGTCCAAAAAAGGCATGGAAAAAAAAAAAAAAAAAAAAGATGATTATTAAAGAGGTGTATTTTAATGGGTCAGATGTACCAGGGGAAAAATGCAGCTGACTTTTGCATGTATCTATGGCTCCTGCATCCACACCAGCTTTGCTCACATCCCACTGCTGTGCTTTCTGCCTTCTGTACTGTAGTGATTTCTTAGAGTGACACCACAGAGAACTTCAGGATGTGATCAATAGACTGTTCAGGCTTGCTGGCCAATCCACTGCACACCAGTGATGTAATCAGCTAGAATTTGGGGCAGCATTAAGAATCCATCACTTGCAACTACAGTGTGCATGTGCTCCATTGCCTGAGCTGGACTCCATCACCCCATGGAGCATTCCAGCACAAAACCCACTTAGTCCAGGCCTGGGGAGTGAAAGCTCACTTACAGCTTTTCCAAACATGATCAGAGCAGGACTCTATCAAATCCTGCAAGGTGATTTCAGTAGTATCCTCTAAAAAACAAACATACTGATTTACTGATGAATGAAGTTCCTAATGTTACAGCAGACCAGAAGAAAATACCAGCTCCAAGGATGACTTTCCTGTTGTATCGGTCACCAAGGTATCCGAAGAAGGGAGCAGCCAGCATGTAACACAAGACGAAAACTAGAAATCCAAAAAGGTACAAAGACAACACTGGTCAAATTGTTCTTATAGTACTTCTCACCTCTCAGACAAACTCAGTTTATTTTTTAGTGTGCGGAGTCTGAAGAAATAAATTCAAATAGAGATTTATTTAAAAAGAAGAACAATACAAAAAGTAAAACAGGCACAAACTGCTCAAGCTCTGTATTTCTTACTTAGAAATTCTTTCATCTTTTATGGTTCACATGCTGTGGGATTTTTGAAAGTCTGAGCTCTGGTCTTCCCTGAACCAAAGTCTTTCAGCTTTCAGTTTCACATTTTAGACAGCTTGCCCACCAGTGGGAGCGAGCAATACCACACATGAGGAGGAACTAGAAAATATTAGACTGTGTTTTAGGCACAGACCATATAGGCACAAGGCAAATCTGAATGTAAGTGATTTTATTACCTGTTTGCAGTAGGCCTGCAGTCCCATCATTAAGTGCAAAGTATTTCTGTATATCTAACAGGATCCCTGCAACAGAATTAAACAATCAGTGACAGCAAAGTACACTTTATTTGTTGTGATTCTACTAATTTGCCAAGTCCATATTGATTTCAAGATGGTTTGTAAGAACCACAGCACGTTTATCTTGCTAGCTTCCATGTCAAGCATTACTGTGCCACAAACATAGATAAAAGAAATATTCACATTTCTTATCTCTGTAGATTAAATTCATAATCTTCCGCTGAACGGGTCTTACAAGAATCAGTTTACCAGCTATTTCAATCAGAGCTGCTGTGCTTCAAGTGCTGATGGCACTTGAAGTCAGTACAGACCAAGCTCCAGACTAACAGCAGCACAGGGGGTTCTGTAGGTATCTCTCAATGACTCTCATATTTAGAGAGTTCCAAACAGTCTCAGAAACTTAAAGTCTGTGACCTCACTCAGAACAACAAATGCCTTTACATTATTACAACACAATAATTAGTCAGATCTATTCTTTCCAGTAGGTGATTATCCACACACAGAAATGCTGAATCATGAGAACTTCAGTTTTGAGCGAGTAGAAAGTTCAGTACAAACCACAGCTATTACAACACCTGGTTGGAACCACAATTTAACTCCAACTAACGTTCAAACTGAGCACCATTAAAATGTTACCTCTCTAGATAACTGCAGCAACTGGGCCAGCCAGATACCAGCAAATGGCAAAGCAGCGATGTGAGCAGCTTGGAACAGGGCAACAGAAGGGCAAAAGTCTGCGTGATCACTACTGTTAGTGAGTAGAAGTCTCGATTCCAGCAGACAATTACACATAAGTTTACTTTTAAATCAATATTTGTGCCTCTTCCTCACTTTCTTGTTAACTTGTATTTACCATAATGCTCCTATGTGTGGACAGCCAAACTCAAGAGTACTGATGCAAGAACTGTGCAGTGCAGCTGAGTTCCAGCACTGCAGAGCAGATTGCTGTGCTATGAAGTGCAGTTTGTAAGCAGAGTACTCTCCTGGAATAAGAAGCCATAGAGTTAAGTAAAAAGCATTTTGGTGATATACTGTAATTAAAGAAGATGTCTGGTATTTCAAAGGCCCAAATACAAGCTGCACCTCTGTTCCTGAATTTTACATATCCCTGCAGGTACCTCACGCAGAAGAAACTGAACTGGCAGGCAACTTCTACTTCACAGACCTGCTTAAAATGTTAAGCTGTTAGTGTGCACGGAGTCAAACAATAGTTCAGAGCCAGGAATGAGCCCAATGGCTGCTGGCACTTCATACTTCCAAGTGCCCCCCCCTGCATCCCAGTCCTTGCTCAAAGGGATTTTCATCCCCTCCGGTCCCCCACCCTTCTACAGTGAAATTTAGTTGACAGCTGAATTCATACACTGAATTTTTTTCACTAACAGTCTTGCAGTATCATTCAGCATGCACCCCTTCATGCTTCCTTCCCTCTTAGATGTGTGGTTAACAAACATTCAATAGAAAAAGCTTTAATTCCTAAATTCATTGACTTCTCCATTTTAAAGATACTGACTTAATGTCTTGAATTTCTTAATGGTCTAAGCAGTAAAAGTAATTAGTTTGTGTGCCAACGCTAAGTATTAATTCGAGGTTTTTAAATATCAATGATTTCCAGGCCACTCAGAGGTAAAATACAGTAAGCTCACAAGCCTGTCCTCCAGTTTCCAGGTAAGGCCCCTGGAAGATTGATAGATGCTGAGGAGTGATCTAAGAAGAATTTATACCAGACACAGTTTATGCATGCAGAGAAAAAAATAAAACACATTTCCCAGTGGTTTAACAGAAGCAATGCTTTGCTGCTCATACTTAGGTCAATAAACAGACAAATTAATAAATAATCAAAGAATCGTATTTTGGAAGGCTTGTAAATTTGGCAGGTGATACCCAGAGAAATAAGCCTCCATTCTCTTTGCAGAATTATATTACACTCTTCGTTGCAGAAATTGTACAAATTCCACCAGCTCAGGAGGAAGCTAAGCCTTCCTCAAAGAAACTTGCACATAATTTTCATACTTTTAATGTGGGAAATGACATCGCTGTTCTTCAGATGAAGGAATGCCACAGCTCATCTACCAGAGCCAACGATGCAGTAAGCATACAAGTATACAATAGAGATGTTTCTACAGAAAATCTCTGTGAAATCCAGACACAAGCAATTGACCAGTTGTTCTGTGTGCTAATATTTGTTTATAATAGCTTCAAAATATGAACCTTAAGCATTTAACAGCATTCTATTGACAATGAGTAACTAATACATCATTCCTTTGTCTTTCAAGAATATGATTTGAAGTTTCACAGAGAGTATGAGCTGCAGGCTAAAGCAGATAAACAAGAAAGACTGAAAAGACATAAAACATACCTTTACAATACAGAATATTGTAACTGAGGAACAAATAGAGCTGTTGAGAACTTAAATTTCTTTTTCCTCAGAAAGAGGAAACAGACTCTTACCTGGTACAATAAACCAATCCATGAAATTTATTAGGTTTGCATAGCACAGCACACCAACTATCAGGTAATCTCTCTTTGATGGACTGTTCCTTGACAGTGGCACACGTGGACCTCGTCTCACACGTGCTGCAGTAGCTCCATAATTCTGCTCCTCATGACGCACCCTGGGCTGCAAGTCTGTGTTTTCATGTGCACTTGGGTTCTGCATACTTCCCAGTGCAAAAAGTCACCGTATGCTATGAAGTGTTTCCTCAGTGCAACAAGCTAGAAGGCAGTTCTGTGTTCAGGCTATGAGGAACTTCAGCCACTGCAGTCATTTCCGGCGACAAAGCCCAGCCACTAAAAACTGAAGTGAAATGTTCCTTGTAGCAGGGAGAGCTTAAAAAAAAATGTTTTAGTCCTATGCTTCTGTTGAGCAAAAGTACTGAAGTGCTTTACCTTGAAGGCAGTGAAGAGCAACTCATCCAAAAGCAAAATAATCCACTGTGCATCCAAGAAATAAAAGTGCACAAGTTTGTAATGATCTCAGAGATACTGCATAGCAAAAAAAGTCATTAACAATCTTTGCTGAGGTCTCACTGAGTTGCTGGAGCTAAAAACAGCCTTCCTACAAAACAGAAAGAAAAGAGATCAGTTAGTTCACCAGATCAGATACCTATCTTGGACTTGAGCCCTCTTTTACCACAGATTTCCTGTGCAACTCTGGACAAATTGCTTTCTCTGCAACTCATGTCTTAATCCCCCCTACAGACGCACATCCCTGTCCTTTAACACAGGGCCACCTCATGTTGTCCCTTCCACCTGACCACTCACTTCTCCCATTATCTCCTACCTGCTCTGCAGTGGCCAGATTTGCCCCCAAAACAGAATCCTTTCCAAGATCCAGAGGTTTTAGGTCAAGTCAGCAACTTAAGCAGACAATTAACATTGCAGACTACTTTCTGTTGAAGGTAGGAGGAATGAAACCAGACAAATGAAAAGAAAAAAAAAATTACTGCAGAACACGACAGCAAGCAGGAGAAAAGAGATGGAAACAAATCAGTAGATAAAAAAAAACCTGACATCACCACACTCTTCAGAACCCCTGCTGGAACTGTGCACATTCCACAGACCTGAATTGAGTAACCAGATTTCTTCCCCTATCTCCTCCAAAAAGAGGTCTGAAAGGGGAAGAAAGGAGAACAAAGGAAGGCACTCTGGTTTCTCTACTATGTGTAGGCACCTTTCTTCTCTGCCTTTCTTCCATCCACTCAGACTTGAAAAAGTGCATTTCATCAACTTTTCCAGGAAGAATTTTCCTATTACATTCATCTTTTTAGAAAAATAACTCATCATAATATCTCTTGAGATGTTTTGTGGATTGTCAGCTTCAGAGGGTCTTTTATTTTTTGTATCCTGTTAAGAAAGTTTCAAGTGAGAAATAATTAGTAAGATTTTAAGATGAGGCAGCTAATTGGACCAGTTACAGATCAGTTGATGACTCATGGATGAAGACAAGAAAACATTGCTGGGCTTTGGTGGCTGTTTTTTTTTTTTAAAGACTGTTTCACACTAAACTGAAAACAAATCAGCATCTCAGATTCTTGGTCATCTTGTGAAGTCTGGCCTCTTCTACTTTGGTGTGCCTAACAGCGTGGTATTTCATTCCATCCTCACTTCATGAAGGTTGAGCTGTCCATGAGCCAGCAGGCGTGTTCCTGCCCAGCCTGACTTCATCATGAATAAGTCTGTGTTAATTTTATTGCAAGACAGAACTTTTTTGGTAACATCTTAGCTCTCAACTTTCTAAAGAAGGATTTAGCTATGGGTCTATCTTTCCCCACTCCTACAAGGAACTCAAGTTGCATGTGAAAACCATTCAGTGTGCCAGCGTACCGCAACGGGAAGCTCTTGTTGCTCTTTATTCGATATCACTCCTGCAACTCTTTCTCTTCTACACACTCCAGAACCTCCAGCGAGTACTCGTGTCATCCATTCATCCCGCTGCTTTATTGGGGCAGTGACGCCCAGAGCTGACCGCGTCGGGGAGCAGCAGGAAATGGGAGCGGCCGGGAGGCGCTGCGGCGCTGCGCCGCAGGGTGGCGCCCAAGTAGCGGGCACACAGCGCTGGGAGCGGCTGCTGGCCGTGGCGCACGGGGCCGGCGCTGCAAACAAAGGGAGCTGGCGGCCGTCCTGCTGCAGCCCTGACTTGAGGTGTAGGTGAGATTTTGATTCCACTTTTGATTCCCTTTTTGCTTTCTTTACCGTTTCTGTTTCCTGTTTCTTGAGCCACGTAACAGCTCAGCCCTGGTAGCAGCTCTGTTCCCCAGGCATCACTTTAAACCCCTTCCTCTAGAGCCCTGCTCCAGTATCACTTTGGATTTAGACTTTTTGATGCTATGCTTACTGGCATTTTGTTCTGTCTGCAGCACAGATTTGTAAGTCAGATTGTCATATAGCAACTCAGTGCTGAGCAGAACACAACTCTGCCCCAGCTGCTGGTAGCAGACATCACCCTCTCCCTTCCCTCGGTGTTCCAAGCCACGTCCTTCCACCCCTCAGGTTTGCACTGCTGGGTACAGTCTGGCCAAAAGGTCCTCTGTGACTTAGCCTTACTGTGGCAGCTTTTATAAGCATCATTCTTTGATAGCTGTTCTGCCTCTAGCAGTCTGTTTCTCATTTTCTCAGACCAAGACTTTCACGTTTGTGCAGACAACACCAAGCAAAAAGATTCTACAAAACTTTGTCACCATTCACTTCTTCTAGACTGACTACAGGAAACCACTGAACAATACAAGCTAACTTTTTTTTAGGTAGGATTACAGCTCATTTCTTTATAGGCAAACATTTTTTCTTCCTCCTTTGTTCATTTCTGTCAGTCAGGATATAGACTGCCTTGGAACAGAGCACAGTGTTTGCCTGCAGAGCTCACAACAGGTGTGCCTGGTGTCAGTGCAATGCAATAGGCAGTTTTAATCCCCAGCATCCTCCTTCACCATTCCCATTCTGATGGTTCATTTAGGCCTGCGATCTCATAGCTGTGTCATGCAAGAAGTCACCAGCAGTGAAATCCTTCTATGGTAGCAGCAAGTTGGAACCTGTTTATTCCAGGCATTTGGAACTAGCCCATGCACACAGCAATGGATTTTCTTACCCCGTTCTGCATCTGGCTGTGGTAGCAGAAGTTGTTTTGATGGCTGAACCTGACAAATGCAACCAAGAATGCCCAGATGAGCACGTGCATTTGGTGACAGTTAGAGCTGGTCGGCTGACACTCAGCAGGCCAAGCTGTGGCAGTTCTTTGTGCTTAGGAAGCTGCCTTGTTTCAAACAGAGCATTCAACTGAGTTCATCTTCTTAGCTATTACTCATCGACGGAGTCCTTGGCCATGACTCATCTGGAGTGTCCTGCTTGTCCAGGCACACACTCAGCAGCTGGGCAGCAGCCCCAGTGGGTCTCACTGTGCTTTGTGCTCCACCTGACTGAGGCACCTACCCTTACTTGGCCACAACCCTGCCCTGTGCTGCCGTTCTCATTAGCAGGAACGAGCCAGTGGTGCCAGTAGGAGGCAGCTGGTGAGGAGATGTGCTCACAGGCAGCGCTCTGTTAACCAGCTAAGACTTGTGGAAGCAGCATACATTACAGCCGCTGAGGCGTTCCTGCCAGTTTAATTAAAACCAGGTGAGATGCTGCCAACAAACGTGCCATGCCTGCAATCTAGATGGGACAAGTCTAATTCACAGACAAGTGATGTGAGAGCCTTCAATTTCTGCTGCAAGGATTTCAAGTATCTACTATAAAATGCCCTTGGATTTCTCCAGATACCCCTTCAGAGTCAAACATGCTGCAAACTGAGTCCCTGCATCCAGGAACTGCTTTGAAGATTTTGCCAGAGCTTTCTCAGAAGGCCGGGTCAGAAGGTCCATTATTAGTGAACCAAGTTGTCAGTAAGGTAGAAATTGAGGGTTATTTTATTATCTTGATTAACTCCAAACCACTTCTACACAAAAAATAAAATAAGTTTATTAACCCTCTTGTACAGCAAACAGCGACAATATGTATGAAGAATTCAATATGGAAATAACATTAATTGTTGACTAGATCTAACAACTAGATCTACTGATTTTAGGAAGAAAGAAGCAAGCTCAGTTTGGTGTCTCCCTCTCTCCTGCATAACCCAGACAGAGAACATAAAGTAGCAAAAAGAGAGTATAAGCTTGTGTGTATTTGCATACACACGTGGGAATGGTCAGCATTTCAAGGCACAGCCATTACGTGTTTTAAATATATGTGATGGAAGCAAATTCATAAATCTTGAGATCCTGCAAATAACTGCAACATGGACTGCCACAATAATTCAGTGTCTGACAAGTTCAGAAAATAATATTCAACATAGTTCTTCTAGGCAGTCAACTTAATAAATGGATCTTTGGACCTACCTGGTATGTTCCTCTCCAAGCTGATACAAAGGTAATGATGATTACTGTGAAAGAGCTGTAAAGGAAAAGTGCTTTAGGCAAGAGACTGTGATTTTTTGAGGTTTGTCACTGCAGTCTCTGATTAATCATGAATTCACAATAACCCACTTCTGGTTTGGAACATACTCTATGTTGATGATACGTAGAGGCAGACTTGGACCTAGACATCGATATCTGCGAGGCTGGAGGAATGGCAGTTTGATCTGCTGTTTAAACCAGTGACAGATTTGTCATGAGAGCAGGCTACTCAAGTAATGTAATCATGCACAAAATTCAGCACGATTTTCAGTTTCTGTTGTATTATATAGATTGTGTATCATATACCACAAAAGGCCATATTGCAAAACTCCAGAGATGACTCTTCTACCAACGGGTATCTTTTTCTTGCATTACAGTTCCTCTGACTGATGCACATTCACCAAATACTTGTTCCCTTATTGTTCCCAATACTTGTTCCCTGGCCAGAAAGAAGGAAGCCGTGGTGCTCCACTTCTGACTGAAGTTTGAGAAATTCTTCACCTGTAGTTTGTTGAACCTGCTCTATCTCAGTGTATTGTTTGTGGCCAAATTTAGACATGATTAACATTCAGGTAATAACTGCTAACGGGTCAAAATACTGTTATGAAACACTTAGTATATTAGAATTAAATTTAGAAGTTTAATAGTAAGGAATCAACCATACATGACTGGATTGCCAATGAGTGTTCTCCAAATCTTTGCAGGCAGAGCTAACACTATGAGCCACTACCAATTTGTGCATCACTTGCTTTTGCATGCATCTCATGGAACAACTGTATAACCAAGAATGATCCATCCAGACTAACAATAATTACGCCCAGAACACTTCACAAGCAGTCTTCTGCTTATATAATTTTAAGAAAACCAACCGAACCACTTGTTTCACTATACTCTTAATTGAAAAATACCTGCTTAGAAGATGCTCATTCTGTGAGTTTCAATAAATGTCACTATTTTTAATTACATCCTTTGTATCACCTCAGTCTGCATTTCCACTTGAAATGCTTTCTCTACACAGTACTATACACGCTGTATGCAGTAAAGTTCACCTTTTTGCTCATTACTTACTCATAATCCACGTATAGTTTTCATCTTCCAGGCATGCAGATCGTGCTTTTGTCTGGGGAA